ATCATCATCATCATCATCATCATCATCATCATCATCAGCAGCATCCTCATCATCATCATCACCATCATCAGCAGCAGCAGCATCAGCAGCATCAGCATCCAGCTTCTTCTGTTTCCCAACCATCCTGTGGTGTTGGACCATCGTTTTGAAGAGACGGTGCCCAGCGATCTCCTCCTCCTGCCTACTTCATCCCTCCTCCTCCTCCCCCTCCTCCCTCCTCCCCCTCCTCCTTCCTCCCTGCGTGTCGTGGCCATAGGGAGCTCCACCGAAGGCTCCAGTGGCAGGGTTTGCATGGCGACCTCGGGCCATGTCGGCACACCCCTCACTAGGACTGTGGCCCCATAGGATACTCAACCGAAGGCCTCAATGGCAGGGTTTGCATGACGGCCTCGGGCCACTTCGGCACAACCCTCACCAGGATCGTGGCCCCATAGGGAACTCCACCGAAGGCCCCAGTGGCAGGGCCCGCATGGCGGCCTCGGGCCATTTCGGCCCACGCTTCACGAGGATCGTGGCCCCATAGGGAACTCCACCGAAGGCCCCAGCGGCAGGGTTCGCATGGCGGCTTCGGGCCACTTCGGCACACCCATCACGAGGATCGTGGCCACATAGGGAACTCCACCGAAGGCCCCAGTGGCATGGTCCGCATGCGGGAACCGCCACCCCTCATGGCACACCCCTCACGAGGATCGTGGCCCCACAGGGAGCTCCACCGAAGGCCACAACGGCAAAATCCGCACACGCGGGAAACGCCACCCATTATGGCACACCCCTCACACGGTTCGTGGTCCCACAGGGAGCTCCACCAAAGGCCCCAGAGGCATGGTCCGCATGCGGGGACCGCCACCTCTCATGGTACACCCCTCACGAGGATCGTGGCCCCACAAGAAACTCAACCGAAAGCCTCAGCGGCAAAATCCGCATGCGGGAACCGCAACCCCTTTTGGCACACCCCTCACACGGTTCGTGGTCCCACAGGGAGCTCCACCAAAGGCCCCAGTGGCATGGTCCGCATGGGGGGGGGACCGCCCCCCATTTAGGCACACCCCTCATTTGGCACACCCCTCAAGAGGATCGTGGCCCCGCGGGGAACTCCACAGAAGGCCCCAGCGGCAGGGTCCGCCTGCGGGGGCCGCCACAAATTTTGGTACACCACTCACGAGGATCGTGGCCCCACAGGGAGCTCCATCGAAGGCCCCAATGGCGGGGTCCGCATGCGGGAACCGCCACCCATCTTGGCACACCCCTCACGCGGTTCGTGGCCCCCACAGGAGCTCCACTGAAGTCCCCAGCGGCAGGGTCCGCATGCGGGGACCGCCACCCATTTTGGTACACCTCTCACGAGGATCGTGGCCCCACAAGGAGCTCCACCGAAAGCGGGCCGCATGCGGGGACAGCCACCCATTTCGGTACACCCCTCACACGGTCCGTGGTCCCACAGGGAACTCAACCAAAGGCCCCAGTGGCATGGTCCGCTTGGGGGGGGGACCGCCCCCCATTTAGGCACACCCCGCATTTGGCACACCCCTCAAGAGGATCGTGGCCCCGCGGGGAACTCCACCGAAGGCCCCAGCGGCAGGGTCCACATGCGGGGGCCGCCACCAATTTTGGTACACCACTCACGAGGATCGTGGCCCCACAAGGAGCTCCACCGAAGGCCCCGCCCGACGCCCATTTTGGCACACCCCTCACGCGATCCGTGGCCCCATATGGAGCTTCACCGAAAGCGGTACCCACAACGCGGTATTCACAATTGCGCATGGTTGGGTCTGACGCCAGGATGATGTTCTTAGGTTTTCCTGTGCTGTCATCTGCTGGTCTCTGTTTCCCTCTGCTTTGGGAGGTTCCCAAGTAGGAAACCCCAACCTCCAAAGGTGAAGGTTCTCTCTGTTTCCCTCTGCGTCTTTCCGTTTTCCTGTTGTCCTCAATTGGCGTGTGTTGTCATGTTCGTTCAGCGCTTTCCTTTTGTTCCAAACCATCCTGTGGTGGTGGGTCCCCGTTTTGAAGAGACAGCGCCCCACGCCTCCTCCTCTCCTCCTCCCATCCTCCTCCCTCCTCCCATCCCTTGCCTATGCTCTCCGCATGCTCATCCCATTATGGCACACCCCTCACACGGTTCGTGGCCCCACAGGGAGCTCCACCCAAGGCCCCAGCGGCAGGGTCCGCATGCGGGGACCGCCACCCCTCATGGCACACCCCTCACGAGGACAGTGGCCCCACAGGGAGCTCCATCCAAGGCCCCAGTGGCAGAGTCCGCATGCGGGAACGGCCACCCATCTTGGCACACCCCTCACGCGGTTCGTGGCCCCCACAGGAGCTCCACTGAAGTCCCCAGCGGCAGGGTCCGCATGCGGGGACCGCCACCCATTTTGGTACACCTCTCACGAGGATCGTGGCCCCACAGGGAGCTCCACCGAAAGCGGGCCGCATGCGAAGGCCGCCACCCATGTCGGCACACCCTCACGAGGATCGTGGCCCCACGGGGAGCTCCACCGAAGGCCACAGCGGCAAAATCCGCACACGCGGGAAACGCCACCCATTATGGCACACCCCTCACACGGTTCGTGGTCCCACAGGGAGCTCCACCAAAGGTCCCAGTGGCACAGGCCGCATGCGCCCAACGCCCATTTTGGCGCACCCCTCACACGGTTCGTGGCCCCAGATGGAGCTCCACCGAAAGCGCCACCACAACAGGGTATTCACAATTGCGCATGGCTGGGCCTTTCGCCAAGATAAAGTTCGTCGGTTTTCCTCTGTTTGTCTATGTTTCTTCTGTTTTGGGAGGTTCCGAGATAAGAAACCCTAACTCCAAAGGTTAAGGTTCCCTCCGTTTTCCTCCGTTTCCTTCCGTCTCCCTTTGTTTACCTCCGTGTTCCTCCGATGTCATTGGTTTTCCTCTGTTTGTCTCTGTGTCCCTCTGTTTTGTGAGGTTCCGACTTAAGACACCCCAACCTCCAGAGGTTAGGGTTCCCTCCGCTGTCCTGTTGTCCTCTATTTTCTTAGGTGTATCGTTGTTTCCCTCTGTTTTGGAAGGTTCCGAGGCAAGAAGCACTAACCTCCGGAGGTTGGGTTCCCTCCGTGTTCCTCTGCGTCCTTTCTTGTTCCATCTGTTTCCCTTCCCTGTTCCATCGGTGTTTCTGTGCTTCCTCTACCTATACGACACCCCTGCGGGTGATAAGGAGGTTGGGGGGGAGGGGGCCAGCAATGGGCAACAGTGGTGGTTGTTGCTCTGACGATGCCAGTGGTAAGAGCATCAATATCGATCTCACTATTGATCTGACAGTCGATCTCAGTATCGATCATGATATCGATCTCACTATCGTTCTCACTATCGGTCTGATCGATCTATCTATCGATATCATTATCGATATCGCTATCGATCTTAGCACGTGAAACCACGGGACACCGACGGGAAACCGATGGGACACCGACGGGACAAAATCGATCTCACTGTCGATCTCACCATCCATCCCACTATCGATCCCACTATCGATCTCGCTATCGATCTCACTATCGATCTCGCTTTCGATCTCACTATTCATCTCACTATCGATTCCACTATGGATCTCGCTATCGATCCCACTCGATCGATCTCACTATCGATCTCACTATCGATATCACTATCGATATCACGATCGATCTCACTATATATCTCACGATCGATCTCTCACTATCGGTCTGATTATCGATCTCACTATCGATCTCACTATCGATCTCACTGTCGATCTCACCACGGGACACCACGGGACAACGACGGGACACCGGCGGGACACCAGCGGGACACCAGCGGGACACCGGCGGGACACCGCGCGCCACCCCTTGCCGGGCGGAGAACCTTTTGGTCCAGCCGCGGCCCAGCCACGACGGGACACCGGCGGGACACCAGCGGGACACCAGCGGGACACCGGCGGGACACCGCGCGCCACCGGTTGCCGGGCGGAGAACCTTTTGGTCCAGCCGCGGCCCAGCCACGACGGGACACCGGCGGGACACCAGCGGAACACCAGCGGGACACCGGCGGGACACCGCGCGCCACCAGTTGCCGGGCGGAGAACCTTTTGGTCCAGCCGCGGCCCAGCCACAGGAGAATTTCCTCTCCCGCGCCCACGCAGCTTCGCCTCGCCCGCACGCACGGCCCGAACACGAAACCGAAATCGATTTCCCGGTAGGGGGGCTCTCCGTTCCACTTCGATCTCACCCCCCAACCTCCGATTCCCCTGAATTTCCCTCTGTTTAGTGGAGCTCCGAAATAGACAACACTAACCTCTGGAGGTTAGGGTTCCATCAGTTTTCCCTCTGCGTTCCCTCTGTTTTCCTATGTTTCCCTTTGTTCCCCTCTGTTTCCCTTTGTTTCCCTTTGATTTGGGAGGTTCCGAAATAGGAAATCCTAACCTCCAAAAGTTACCTCTGGAGGTTGGTGTGCCCTCGGTTTTCCACGTGTTTTCCCCTGTCTTCCCTTTGATTTCACTATGTTTTCTCTTTGTTTTCCGTCTGTTCTCCCTTTGTTTTCCGATGTCCACTAATATCCCTCCGTTTTTCTCAATCACTCCTCTGTTTTCCTCCGTTGTCCATCCGTTTGCCCTCCGGTTTCCCTTGTTTTCCAATTGTGTTCCCCTGTGTGTTCCCCTACGTTCCCATGTGTTCCCCTGTGTCCTCTGTTTCCCTCGTGTTTCCCTTTGTCTAGGGAGGTTCCGAAACAGGAAACCCTAACCTCCGAGGCTTCGAAACAGGACACCCTAACCTCCAGAGGTTAGGGTTCCAGCGTTGTTCGTCCCCCTCGCGAGTCGGGCACAGCCTGACCTGGTGGCTAGAATTGAACGGTTGAGTGTCGAGTGGTCCCCATAACAGTCGAAAGATGCAACTGCAACGTAGGACCTATCACGACTACGACCGTATGACGTATGACCGCGCAGGCACGCCAACTCAAGTACGTAGCTCCGCACGCATGACTCACGCATCCAGAAGAACTCTTACGTTGTTGTGACCGTTCCTCCTATGGTCCCGCCTGCATGGAATATGGCTGGGTCATTCGTCATTTTTTTCTCGCGCGGCCGAATCATAGGGTCGCCGTCCATCCGAGCCCGTGGTGCTTGCCCGACGAGGTGCTCAGATCAGGCACATGAAGAGCCTCACCCTGTCAGGAGCGGGGTGACATTAGTCACAAAAGGCCGGAACCCTGAGTTCTTCTGTCAGTGGAGGACCACAACCGTGGTCAAGCGAAGGATGCCAACGCAGCAGAAGACGTGGAATGGCCAGGATCATCCGGGTACACGGGGTGCTCGAGCAGCTCCGTGCGCATCGCGCAGTCGTGCGGAGGAGTGCTCGCGTCTTGATGGTCGTCCTCCCCCAGTAGACCTGCCAGGAGGGAGCGAGAGGGGGATGTCTAGGCCTGCTGGGCCCCGCCGCGAGTCTAGATACCTAGACCTGCGGGGCCGAAGGCCCCCCGAAGCAAGGCCAGGCCAGCGCGGGGCGGGACACTGAGCCGGGCAGGCCTGTAGACCCAGGCCTGCAGAGCATGGCCTTTTTGGAACATGGCCTTTTTGGGGAGCTCGGGTACACCCCCCCATCCCCGAGAGGCGGCCCGCAGGGCTTCCGAGAGCGCCCAGGTGGAGAGTCGCTCGCTTCAGGCTCCAGGCTTCACCCCGGAACGGTTCCAGGGTGACTCTGGAGCCTGGCACGGGCCGATGCCCAGAGGAGGAGGAGGAGGAGGAGGAGGAGGAGGAGGAGGAGGAGGAGGAGAAGGAGGAGGAGGAGGAGGAGGGCGAGGGGGAGGGGAGGAGGAGCAGGAGGAGGAGGAGGAAGAGGAGAGGGAGGGCGAGGGGGAACCCCGCGGGCCAGGCGGGCGCGGGGCGCGGGGCGCGGAGCGCGGCAGGCCTGCATCTGGACCCCCGCGGGGCGCGCGGGAGCCTCGCAGGGGGGGGCCTGGAGCCAGAGCTGCGGGGCCCCGCCGCGGGCCCCGGAGGGCCCGCCGCGGCCCCGGCCGGCGCGGGGGGCCTGGAGCCCCCGGGCCTGCTCCCACCTCTGGGCCGGCGGGGGCCGCGTGCCGCGGGGCCGGGCCGCCGCGGAGCGCGCGCGGGCCCCGGCGGGTCTGGCTTTGGGTTGGGTATGTCCCCCTACAGGCAGAGCTTGGAGGACAGATAGGAAAAATAGTTTTTCAGATTTAGGGAATTCGCCTGGCGAAGGGCCCAAGCATATGCAGTTGTGGGTGCCGCCGTCGTGAACACTGCCTTCGGTGGACCTTCTTATGGGGCCACGGAGCGCGTGAAGGGTGTACCAAAATGTGGCACTGCCACTGTGGCCTTAGGTGGAGCTCCATACAGGGCCACGACACGTGTGAGGGGTTCGGTGGAATCGCATGCGGGCGCTGCCACTGGGGCCTTCGAGGGAGCTCCCTATGGGGCCACGAAACGTGCGAGGGGCACACCGACATGGGGGTGGAGCTGCATGCGGGCGCTGCCACTGGAGCCCTCGGTGGAACTCCCTGTGGGGCCACGAAACGTGCGAGGGGCACACCGAAATTCAGGGTGGAACTGCATGCGGGCGCTGCCACTGGGGCCTTTGGTGGAGCTCCCTATGGGGCCACGAAACGTGCGAGGGGCACACCGACATGGGGGTGGAGCTGCATGCGGGCGCTGCCACTGGAGCCCTCGGTGGAACTCCCTGTGGGGCCACGAAACGTGCGAGGGGCACACCGAAATTCAGGGTGGAACTGCATGCGGGCGCTGCCACTGGGGCCTTTGGTGGAGCTCCCTATGGGGCCACGAAACGTGCGAGGGGCACACCGACATGGGGGTGGAACTGCATGCGGGCGCTGCAACTGGGGCCTTCGGTGGAGCTCCCGATGAGGCCACGAAGGTGTGAGGGGTGTGCCGAAATGGAGGGTGGAACTGCATGCGGGCGCTGCCATTGGAGCCTTCGGCGGAGCTCCCTACGGGGCCACAAAGCGTCTGAGGGGCGCACACACATGGGGGTGGACACAGACATGGGGGTGGAACTGCATGCGGGCTCTGCCACTGGAGGCTTCGATGGAGCCCCCTATGGGGCCACGAAACGTGCGAGGGGCACACCGACATGGGGGTGGAACTGCATGCGGGCGCTGCCACTGGGGCCTTCGGTGGAGATCCCTATGGGGCCACGAAACGTGTGAGGGGTGTGCCGAAATGGGGGTGGAACCGCATGCGGGCGCTGCCGCTGGGACCTTCGGTGCAGCTCCCTGTGGGGCCACGACACGTGTGAGGGGTGTGCCGAAATGGGGGTGGAACCCCATGCGGGCGCTGCCGTTGGGGCCTTCGGCGGAGCTCCCTATGGGGCCACGAAACGTGTGAGGGGTGTGCCGAAATGGTGGTGGAACCGCATGCGGGCGCTGCCGCTGGGGCCTTCGGTGGAGCTCCCTGTGGGGCCACGAAAAGTGTGAGGGGCGCATCGACATGGAGGTGGAACTGCATGCGGGCGCAGCCACTGGGGCCTTCGGCGGAGCCCCCTATGGTGCCACGAAACGTGTGAGGGGTGTGCCGAAATGGAGGGTGGAACCGCATGCGGGCGCTGCCGTTGGGGCCTTCGGCGGAGCTCCATATGGTGAGGGGTGTGCCGAAATTGGTGTCGATGATGGTGACGATAACGGCGATGATGATGGCGACGATGGTGATGATGACGATGATGCCGATGATGATGACAACGACGATGATGATAATGACGATAACGATAACGATGACGATGATGATGATGATGCTGCTGCTGATGATGATGATGATGACGATGACGATGACGATGACGACGATGATGATGATGATGATGATGATGATGATGCCGATGATGATGACGATGATGATGATGATAACGATACTGATGATGATGATGATGATATTGATGATGATGATGACGATGATGATGATGATGGTGATGCTGCTGATGATGATGGTGATGGTGATGATGATGATGATGATGATGACGATGATGATGATGATGCTGATGATGATGATGATGATGATGGTGATGATGATGATGATGACGATGATGATGATGATGATGCTGATGATGATGATGATGAGGATGAGGCAGAGGAGGAGAGGAGGAGGGGAGGGGGCAGCGGGAGGAGTTCAACGCGGGGCGCTGTCTCTTCAAAACGGAGACCCAACGCCACAGGATGGTTGGGAAAGAGAAGATGCCCCAAAAAATCGTCCCCTGACTATTTCTCTACTGTTTGTGGACATTCCTCCTGCGGAAGGGCAGGCCCGACTCTGATCTGGGCTCTTGCGAGGCCACGCCAGCTCGGGGCGGAGGCCTGGGCCCCGCCAGCCTGGCCGAAGGCCTGCCAGGGAGCCCCGCAGGGCTGGGCCCAGGCCCCTGCGAGGCCCAACGCCCTGGCCCCTGTCCTCCTCCTCCCTCCTCCTCCTCCTCCTCCTCCTCCTCCTCCTCCTCCTCCAAAAACCGTTTGGCTCCGTCGCCCCCGTGAGAAGACCAAAAACACAGAAGCATAAACTTGTGGCGCTCCGCGCGGATTTCTTGGATCCGCGCTGGACCCCCCCGCCCCTGGCGCGCGGAGCGTGCCAGGGGCGGCGCCGGAGGCGCCGCCGGGGATGCGAGGAATCTGCGCGGAGCTCCACAAGTTTATCATATCTACATGTTTGCTTCTTCTTCTTCTTCTTCTTCTGCTTCTTCTTCTTCTTCTTCTTATTATTATTATTCTTCTTCTTATTATTATTCTTCTTCTTCTTCTTCTTCTTCGTCTTCTTCTTCTTCTTCTTCTTCTGCTTCTTCTTCTTCTTCTTCTGCTTCTTCTTCTTCTTCTTCTTCTTCGAGCCCCCGGCAGGGCTGGCTCCAGGCCCCGGTGAGGGGGCCACGCCCTGGAGGAGGCGATTGGGCCTCCGGCAGCGCACCCGCGCCTTCCCGGGCAGGCTGGGGCCCTCGGGGCCCCCGTCGGCGATCCCTATATAGGCAGGTCGGGGGTCGGCGCGTCCCCCCCCCCGTGCCGACTCCCCCCCCCCATCGTCGCCCCTGACGCTGGGGGCTGGCCGGGGGCGGCCCCTCTGGGTGGCCCCAGCTGGGCCATCTTCACCCCGCAGACCTCCGACGGCAAACCCTGCCCGCCCCAAGTGCTTCACGTACACGTTCAGGTACACGGTGCCGGCGTCAGTGTGCCCGCGGACCACTTTCAGCTGGACCGGGCCAAGCGCAACCCAATGCGGAGTCTCGATCGGTTTCTGCGACACGCTGTAATGGTACCCCCCAACTTGTTGGGCTTCTGCCCAATTGCCGGTAACGTTCACGTGCTGGAAGAACATATCCGCACAATGTCCACCCATTCGGCTCGCATCGGCTTGTACGACAAGCAGTGCGTCTTCAGCGCTCATTCCACGAGGGATCTGTATCAGGACATGCCTGCCTGCCTGCATCAAATCGAACCGCTCACCATGAACGTTTTGAAGGTGGGGGTCGCCAGTGGCAGCCACGCCTCCGCCGGCTCCACCCGCCATGGGAGATCCAGGAGGAAACGTCGGGTGTGGCGTCGGCCAGCCCAGAGGATACGTCGGGCTGGGAGTCGGGCTGGGCGTCGGGAAGGGCGTCGGAAAAAGCGTCGGGAAGGGCGTCGGGTACGCCGTCGGGAAGGGCGTCGGGAAGGGCGTCGGGTATGACGTCGGATACGGCGTTGGGAAGGGCGTCGGGTACGGCGTTGGGAAGGGCGTCGGGTACGGCGTCGGATACGGCGTTGGGAAGGCTGTCGGGTACGGCGTTGGGAAGGCCGTCGGGTACGGCGTTGGGAAGGCCGTCGGGTACGGAGTCGGGTAGGGCGTCGGGTACGGCGTGGGGTAGGGCGTGGGGTAGGGCGTCGGATAGGGCGTCGGGTAGGGCGTCGGGTACGAGGTTGGAGATGGCGTCGTCTGGCAATTGCAAGTGAATATCCGGTCGTAAGACTTGCTGCCATGATAAAACCAACCGCCATTGCAGCCAGCCAAGCTCGTGACGTACCCGCCGACTGTATCCCAGGGGTTGCCATAATAGTATTTGCCATTGTTCGCAGAATTGCATGTAGGGTGATAGTTAGCATAATGGCAATGTGGCTCAGGGGCCCACCCACTTGCATAACCTTGGCTCCAACTGCACGATGCCGTCTGGGCACTCGTGCGCGAGCCGTTGTAAAGGTCGTGGGTGTCATTATGGGTGTCGTTGTGGATACGCTCTCGCACCATCATGGAAATCGCAGCAGGAACCCCCTGGACAGGAAGCATTGCCACGAACATGCTCCATGGTGCTTTCCTGGTTGCCGCCATCCTGGCAAGCTGCGCAAGAGCAGTTTACGCAGCTCCAATATAGATTGTGTGTGCTGGTCAAGACTGAAAAACCTTGAAGCTTGAGCCAAGGTGCCCGCAGTCGGCCATCACAGGCTCGAGTGCAGAAGGCAATGTTAAGGGGGGCCAGCTCAGAGAACGCCGCATCGACCTGCAATCGGACATGCATCGCCAATTCGCCGGCCCAACGGGCCAGGGCGTGCTAAGAACTCCGGTACCTGGTTAACAGTATTTCTAGTTCGCGCGCGCGGGGCGGCCCCTGGGGGTCCCCGGACGAAAAAGACCCCGGCAAGGTCCCGGCAAGTCCCCGGCAAGGTCCCGGCAAGTCCCCGGCAAGGTCCCGGCAAGGTCGGGCCAGAGATGCCGGAGCCCTGTTACAGGGCCCCAGGACGGGCCAAGAGGTCCCCAAGAAGCCTCCAAGACGGTCCAAGAGGGCCCCGAGACGGCCAAAGATCGCCCGAAGACGCCCAACAGGGCCCCAAGACAGCCCAAGAGGCCTCCAAGACGCCCCAAGGGCCTTCCAAGAGGCCTCCGAAGAGGGCCCCAAGAGGCCAAAATCGTTGATTTTCATTGTTTTTTTTCTATGTTTTTTGCGTTCTGGCTTTTTCGGCTTCCGGACGCTCCAAGACGGCCCAAGAGGCCCCCAAGACCGCTCCAAGACGGCCCACGAGGCTCCCAAGACGGCCCCGGAACGGCCCAGGAGGGCCCCCAAGACGGCCCAAGTGCCGCCCAAGACGGACCAAGAGGCCCCAAGACGGGCCCAAGAGGGGCTCAAGAGGAGAACCGAGAACTGAAAAATCGAGCCCTCCGCCCCAGAAGGCGCCCAGGAGGCCCCAAAAAGGCCCCCAAGAGGCCCCCAAGACGCCCCAAGAGGCCCAAAAGAGGCCCCAAGAGGCCCAAAAACGGCCCCCAAGAGGCCCCAAAACTCGGCTAGCCCACAACGGTGCGACAATATGGGCCGGCGGAATGAGCGAAGCGATTAAATAAAACGGCGACGCCCTCCCTGGTATCGAATCCGCATGTTCCAGGGCGGGGCGGGCTATCGGGCCCCCATCGGCGATGAGTGGGCGGTTGGGGGTCGACGCATCCCCCTCTAAGCCTATCTCCCCCGCGAAAACTGCAGCATTAATGGTATAGTAGGAGGCAACTCCTCGCAAGATCTTGTGAAGACGCCTGAAGGCGATTAAGCCCGATTAAGGGGCGACTCGGTCGGATTAGAGGTAGTATTCAGCCAGGTTAGGCTGGTTGACCAAGGGTAAACAGTGGTATGGCGCAGTGAGCCACATCAAGCTGGATGTAAAGGCGAATGAAAAAGACTAACCGGAACAAGCCATATTAAGCTGCAGTGAGCAAGCATTTTGCCATAGAATATTCGATTGGGAGCCAGTTGCCTGGGAGTCATACGTGACTGCGGCGAGGCGCGCGTCCAGAGAGACTGGCGACCGGACCCGCGCTGGAGAGCACGACCGCGACCGCGACCGCGAACAAGGGCGCAGCGGGGGCACCGTGGCGCAAGCAAGACGCCAACGAGTGGGGCAGAACCAGGGAGCGCTACTGGGATCAGGACCGCGACAGCGGCAGGGGCACAGGGAGCCCCCCCTGGCGCCAGCCAGAACACCGCAGCTCTTACCACAGGGATGGTCGCCGCTACCCTGACCCCGGCCGCCCGCGGACAATCTTCCGCGTCGGCTGGCAGCGCCGCCCGCACGAGACAGCAGTCACACACCTGAAGAGGCTGCAGGCCGAGGGAGGATACCACTTCAACGCAGCCTGGCACTCGTGGTGCAAGTATATGTGTAAGGAGCAGGGCACAGGCGAATCCAAAGACCAAGTCGCTTTCGACCCGAACCTTTGGCAACAATGGATAATCGACCAATTCCTGGAAGACATGGACACCAGCAACCATCACGTGGAAGCGTGGTATCGCAACACCGGCGTCTACGATGACAGGGATCGGGAGAAGGCCCTGTACCAGGACGTCCAAAAGAAAAACGAGGTCGCCAAAGGTGAAAGGCGCGGAGAGGACCAGGCACGCAGCTCCGGGCACAACGACAATTGGACCGGAAAGCGCCCCAGGCGCTGACCAGCCTGCGACCTGGCCTCCCCTCACTGACACAGCACGCCGCGACCGCTTCCACGTTCCCAGCAACGTGCGGCAAAGTCCTGGTCCTACCCACTGCTGGCCACGCCCACCACCTGTTCCCCATTCCCCCTCCCTCTTCACCTGGCTTGGGACCGTGTGTCCCCCTGCTCGCGCGACACGACCGCCTTCCTACGCTCCCACAACTTGCGGCAAGGTCAAACTCCTACCCACCGCTGGCCACACCCACCACCTGTGCCCCCTTCCCTCTCACTCTTTACCTGTCGTGGGACCGTGTGTCCTCCTTTTCCCCCCTACCTGTACCGACACAGCACTTGAGACGAGCATGACCCACGCGCAGCGACCGCTTGCTGGTCCACCTGGTCTCCGACTGTACCTGCTCCCCCCTCCCCCCTCACCTGTCTATAACATGTTCTGGGACCGTGTGTCCTATTTGTACCCATCGGGGCCCGGTCCCCCCACGTGAGCACCTACGGTGCGGGCTGGCACGACGACGGTTGGCGTGGCGCGCCGGCCCTTCTCCCCCCTGTTCGCTTCTTCCCCCCCCGCTCGCTTCCCCCCCTCCCATGGCGGCAGCGCCCGGCACTGCGCGGCTTCGGCCCGGTGCCGGACGCTGCACCTTGCCGCCTCGGCGGCCCCGCTCGCCATGGCGCTGCGCGGCTCAGGCCCGGCCCTCGGCAATGCGGACGTCAGCGCATCGTGCGTGGCTGCTGCCCGTCTTCACGCGCTGACGGTGCAGGGCAGGTTTCCTCCCTGCACTCCACCGACATCCTGTCGGTCATGTACGGCCCTCTCGTCTGTGGCCGCACCTCAAGCAGGCTACTACCTGGTCGTGGATTGGACTACCACCCCGGGCCCCATCCGTATCACCCGGTGGCACAACGTTGCTCATCGCCTTCGTGGTGTTCCTCCTCTTCCTGAACCTGCTCCGCATCATCCGGTGGCACAACGTTGCTCATCGCCTTCGTGGTGCTCTTCTCTCCTGGGCGTCGACCTGGTCAAGTGGCGCATCCTCCTCTGCAGTGCTTGAGGCTGGTTATCGCGACGTGCCGTTGACGGCAACACCATCTCCTTCGCCTTCCGGGTCTTCGCCCGGCGTACCTTTTCCTGTGCACGCTCTTCGGCACCGCCTGCACCCCGGATCCCGCCCGCTCTGGCCGCAGGAGCCCCAATTACAGCTGTGCGTAGCCCGCCTAGCTTTTAGCGGAAGAGGTTCGCTCTCGCCCCGCAGACCAAAAAGTGTTTCCCTCTGTTTCCCTCGATCTCCTACTCTTTGCGAAGTCCTTGTGCGAGGTCGAGAAGATGACCACGCTGCTTGTGGAGGAATTTGCAAAAGCTGGCCTCGTGGCAAATGGATCGAAAACGAAGCTTCTAACGACGGATGCCGCAACATCCTCTGGGTCAACGCCCCTGCGGGTAGACATCGCGGACATGTTCGTGGAAATCATCAAGGCAGGTCCTTCCCACAGATCCGGGAGATCTGACTCTGCGGGGGCAGAGAAGTATTGATCATCGTCTGTCATGTGCGTGGATGCGCTTCCATGAATTGCACCACACTTTGCTCAACAACAAGATTCCGGTCAAATTGCGCCTGAGATTGTTCGACACCGTCGCCCAACAGTCTTGCGCAGTCTTTCAACAACCCCGCTCACAGTAGCGCAATTGGAGAGACTCGATGGAGCACAACGGCAAAAGATGAGACGCATCGTGGGCTGGGTGAGACACGATGAGGAGGACTGGCATACCACATGGCATCGCATGACAGAAATATTGAATTCTGCGTGGGGCAGCACCCGCGTGGCGGTCTGGAGCCAGGTGCGAGGCAAGCAAAGGCGAAGACTTTTCGAGAAGGTCGCAATGCAATCGGCAGGCATCGTCTGTCGCGTGTATGATTTGTCTATTCGGCCAACAGTGCCTGGTCAAGGGGCCTACAGGAGGCCGGGCCGCCTGGCGTGCCGGTGGACGGACGGCATCTGAGTGACGGCATTCGCGCGTGCGCGTGTGGGTGTGTTGTGGTGTTGTGTCCTGTTGTGTTGTGTTGTGTGTGTTGTGTTGTGTTGTTGTTTGTCTTGTGCTGTTCTGCGTTGGGGTGTGATGCGTGTGTTGTGGGTATGTTTGGGTGTTACAAGATACCTGTTCATGCGATTTTCCTCCCGTGTCCTGTGCAGGACCGGCCTTGCGGCCGCGCGGGATCTGCTCTGCCGAAACAGAATACAACTAACCTCCAGAGGTTAGGGTTCCCTCCGTTTTCCTTTGGCTTTCCCTCTGGTTCAAAGGTTTCCCTTTGTACCCCTCTGTTTCCATTTGTTTCCCTCTATTTTAGAAGATTCCGAAATAGGAAACACCAACCTCCGGAAGTTCGGGTTTCCATTGTATTCCCTCTGTCTTCTCATATTTTCCTATGTTCCCTCTGTTTCCCTTTGTTTCCCTCTGTTGGTTCCTAAATACGAAACCCTAACCTCAGGAAGATAGGGTTCCGTCTGTTTTCCAAATGTTTTCCCGCGTGTTCTCTCCGTTTTGCCTTGTTTCCCTTTTGTTTCCCTCTGTGTCCCTCCTACTTCCCTGTTGATCCCCTTTTGTTGCCCCCTGTTTCCCTCTGTCATGGGAGGTTCCGAAATACAAAACCCCAACCTCTGGAGGTTGGTGTTCCCTCGGTGTCACATATGTTTTCCCATGGATTCCCTCAGATGTTTTCCGATCTCCGCTAATTTACCTCCGTCTTCCCTCAATTGTCCCTCCGTTTTCCCTCCGCTTTCTATCAGTATTCCCTCCGTTTTCCATTGCTTTCCCTTCGTGCTCCCCTGTGTTTCCATGTGTTCCCCTGTGTTCTCTCTGTTGCCTTTATGCTTCCCTTCTGTTTCCCTTGTGTTTCCCTTATGTTTTCCATGTTTCCCTTTTGTTTCCATCTGCTTCCCCTTGTGTTGGAAGGTTCCGAAACAGGAAACCCTGACCTCCAGAGGTTAGGGTTCCAACCTCCGGATTCCACTGCTTTCCCCCCCCCTTCAATCTGGGGGAAGGGGGGGTCTGGACCCACCCCCCGCCCC